ATTAGCTGCATTTATGAAATCTGGCAGATGGATGTCAAAACGAGTTTCCTTACCAGTTTTCGTAAGGAAAGGTTGTATGTGATACAATTAGAAAGGTTTTGTCAATCCTAAGGATGCTAAAGCTATGCTAGCTCCAGCGATCCTTCTAAGGACTAGAGTAAGCATCTCGGAGTTGGAATATACGCTTTGATGAGATGATCAAAGATTTTGGGTTTATACAAAGTTTATGAGAAATGTGTATTTCCAAAGAAGTGAGTGGGAGCACTATAGAATTTCTGATGAGTATATGTTGTTGACATATTGATGATCAGAAATGATGTAGAACTTCTGGAAAAGCATATAGGGTTATTTGAAAAGATGTTTTTCAATAGAAAACCTGGATTAAGCTACTTGAACATTGAGCATCAAGATCTATGAGGATAGATCAAAAATGCTTAATGGTACTTTCAAATGAGCATATACCTTGACATGATCTTGAAGGTGTTCAAGATGGATCAGTCATAGAAGGTGTTCTTGCCTGAGATGTAAGGTATGAAGTTAAGACTTAAAGCTCGACCACAGCAGAAAAGAGAGAAAGGATGAAGGTCGTCCCCTATGCTTGAGACATAGGCTCTATCGTATGCTATGTTGTGTACTGCACCAGAAGTGTGCCTTGCCATGAGTCAGTCAAGGGGTACAAGAATGATCCAGGAATGGATCATTGGACAGCGGTCAAAATTGTCCTTGGAGTAAATAAGGACATGTTTCTCGATTATGGAGGTGATAAAGAGTTCGGCGTAAAGGGTTACGTCGATGCAAGCTTTAACACCTATCCGAATGACTCTGAGTAGCAAACCGGATACGTATAGTGGAGCAACCATTTGGAATAGCTCCAAGTGGAGAGTGGTAGCAGCGTTTACAATATGACCTAGAGATTTGCAAAGTACATACGGATCTGAATGCTGCAGACCCGTTGACTAAAACCTCTCTCAAGCAAAACATGATCAAACCCCAGAACTCATTGAGTCTTAATCACATGATGATGTGAACTAGTTTAATGAGACTAGTAAACTCTTTGGATGTTGGTCACATGGCGATGTGACCTGTGAGTGTTAATCACATGGCGATGTGAACTAGATTATTAACTCTAGTGCAAGTGGGAGACTGTTGGAAATATGCCCTAGAGGCAATAATAAATTAGTTATTATTATATTTCCTTGTTCATGATAATCGTTTATTATCCATGCTATAATTGTATTGATAGGAAACTCAGATACATGTGTGGATACATAGACAACACCATGTCCCTAGTAAGCCTCTGATTGACTAGCTCGTTGATCAATAGATGGTTACGGTTTCCTGACCATGGACATTGGATGTCATTGATAACGGGATCACATCATTAGGAGAATGATGTGATGGACAAGACCCAATCCTAAGCCTAGCACAAAGATCGTAGTTCGTATGCTAAAGCTTTTCTAATGTCAAGTATCTTTTCCTTAGACCATGAGATTGTGCAACTCCCGGATACCGTAGGAATGCTTTGGGTGTACCAAACGTCACAACCTAACTGGGTGGCTATAAAGGTGCACTACAGGTATCTCCGAAAGTGTCTGTTGGGTTGGCACAAATCGAGACTGGGATTTGTCACTCCGTGTAAACGGAGAGGTATCTCTGGGCCCACTCGGTAGGACATCATCATAATGTGCACAATGTGACCAAGGGGTTGATCACGGGATGATGTGTTATGGAACGAGTAAAGAGACTTGCCGGTAACGAGATTGAACAAGGTATCGGTATACCGACGATCGAATCTCGGGCAAGTACAATACCGCTAGACAAAGGGAATTGTATACGGGATTGATTGAGTTCTTGACATCGTGGTTCATCCGATGAGATCATCGTGGAACATGTGGGAGCCAACATGGGTATCCAGATCCCGATGTTGGTTATTGGCCGGAGAGTTGTCTCGATCATGTCTGCATGGTTCCCGAACCCGTAGGGTCTACACACTTAAGGTTCGATGACGCTAGGGTTATAAACGAAGTTTGTATGTGGTTACCGAATGTTGTTCGGAGTCCCGTATGAGATCCCGGACGTCACGAGGAGTTCCGGAATGGTCCGTAGGTAAAGATTTATATATGGAAAGTTGTTGTTCGGGTTCCGGAAAAAGTTCGGGTTTTTTTCGGTATTGTACCGGGAAGCTTCCAGAAGGTTCCGGAGGATTCCGGAGGGGTCCGGAGGTCCGGAAATTGTTCCACCACGTCCAATACAGTAGCATGGGCTGTAGGGGGGCGCCCTAGCCTTAATGGGTCAGGGGCACCAGCCCCCCCAAGGCCCATGCGCATGGGAGGGGAAAACCCTAAAGGGGGAGGCCTCCACTTGACTTGGGAGGCACTCCTCCCCCCTTGGCCGCCGCCCCCAACCCTAGATGGGATCTAGGGGGGCCGGCCCCCTCTTCCCCCCCTCCCCCACCTATAAATAGTGGAGGGGTGGGAGGGCAGCCGCACCACAAGTTTTGGCGCAGCCCTCCCCCTCTCCCAAGTACTTCTCCTCTCCCGCGGTGCTTGGCGAAGCCCTGCAGGATTGCCACGCTCCTCCACCACCACCACGCCGTTCTGCTGCTGCTGGACGGAGTCTTCCTCAACCTCTTCCTCTCTCCTTGCTGGATCAAGGCATGGGAGACGTCACCGGGTTGTACGTGTGTTGAACGCGGAGGTGCCGTCCGTTCGGCACTAGGATCTTCGGTGATTTGGATCACGACGAGTACGACTCCTTCAACCCCGTTCTCTTGAACGCTTCCGCTTAGCGATCTACAAGGGTATGTAGATGCACTCTCCTTCCCCTCGTTGCTGGTTTCTCCATAGATAGATCTTGGTGACACGTAGGAAAATTTTGAATTTCTGCTACGTTCTTCAACAAAAACAGGCAAAAGCATAATATCACACAATACATGGGCTAAGATTGGCTTGGCTGTTTGTTCTTGTGAAGTCGGAGTTGTGGTGGCGGGTACGGGTGGCGATGATCTAGGCTGCGAGCTGATCCACTCCATGGTGCCAGCCTCGCGCATTCCTCCTTAGCATCTTGCCATCAGAATCTGAGCTGCACTGTCGTCGACACGTGTGGCTGTTTTGTTGGCATCGTTTTTCGTGTGGCTCATTAGGCATCGTATTTCATGGGCTCATTATTGCGTTGACTTTGTCTACCGGGGTTTGGCATTAGTTGCAGTCGCTTGGTTGGTGAAAAGTGATGATGGTGACACCAATGTGCAATTGTGACCTGTTTAAGGATGATGTTTTCTTCCCGTCGGTCATTGTGATGTATTTGTTGTGTGACCGGACAGTTTTCTAGTAATTAACTGGGCAACTCACTTATATTTACTTCCTCTCTCTCAGTTCACAAGGCGTGCGCGTATCCCTAGATCATCAATTTGACCAACCTAATACAAGTCAAATATTACAAAAAATATACCAATTCAAATTTCATGTGTTCTATTTTCAAACGGTATAATTTTGTGTTATATAGTTTATATTAGGTTGATAAAGTTGGCAATCTAAGTATACGCGCAGGACTTGTAAACTGGGACGGAGGGAGTAACTAATAAAAATGAAAAATATTTTGTTTTGCTTAAAATAAGTTTACTCGGTAGTCCCTGAGTTCTCACAAAAAAGAAGGATATACTAGAAATTTCCCTGCATGTTGATGTAGTCGTCTTGTGGAATGTTTAGACAAGAAGTCCCATGTCTTCTTTTGGCGACGCGACGCCAGAACCGACAACCACCACCATAAGAAGTAGGAACGTAGGCTTCATCTGGAAAAGAGAAGCTCCTCCGAAGCGTCAAAGGGTGTGGTGCATGAGCGAGGCTTCGGTGTGGCACAAGAAGTTGAGAACAGGATCAGACCGGTCTGACGTAGTACATGATAAATCTGTAAACCGATGGTCACATGAGAACAACAACCTGTGATGTGCAGTTAAAACCAAAAGCCGGCAAATGCTTGTATGGATGTATGTATGTGTAGTGTATGATGTAGAGTGGAGAGCAAGGAAGGAAGGAATGACCAGACCACAAATGCTTGCAGCTTTCCAGTGGAGTGGAGGAGGTTGTTGTTGCTGCCCGCTTAGCTCTATTTCCTACTCCTAGCCTCCAAAACCAGGATGAAGCCAAAACAGTCGTCTGATTTGGTGCGCAGTCCCCATCCTGTCCTCATCTCTCCACCGCAGCGGAGTACCATCCATCTTGCAAAACGCCAGCTCCAAAACTCCTTACATACAGTAAGTAAGTAAGCCGCATGCATGCATGATTTCAGGCAGGCAGGTAGGAGTCAAGTGATCCATCCGTCCGTCGATGTATACTGACATCAACTGACTGAACATGGTACTACGACACGCTATAGTAGCTGCTTTCGTTTTCTCACTTCATCAACTCAAGATATAACGTACTACTCACGTTTGGTAGCCGGTAATTAACTAACTCACGTCTCCAGCACGCTTGAGCCACAAGTTCAGTTCAGTGAAGCAAACGCGCCAACTTTTCCTTCTCTTTCAACACTATGAATTCTTGACCTCGCTGAAAGAGATGCTGTGGTAACTTGCACCTTCCATTCCCATGGATGGATGTCACCGTCCTACTTGTCTCGTCTTTCACCTTTCGTACCGTTGCTCGCTCGCAGCGTGACGCGCGCGCCACCGACGCCCGCCCCGATCGCAACGCCTCAACCTCACCGCAGCTGAATTAGAAACGCAGATGAGCCCAAAATCAGCCGGTGACGGCCATGTCACCACCGTAATCCGGATCCGGTCGCCGTGGTTTCACCGTAGCCATGGATGGGACGTCACGTCTCTATCTCCCCCGCTACTTAACCAATCCGGCGTGCCGGGGTAGGGACACGCCCGCCTCCAGCCGCAGTCCACTAACTCATCGCTACAGCGGCGCGGCCTCGCCTCACCCGCCCCACCCACCTCAGCGGCGCCCACCGAAAAACAAGATTCCCAAGAAGAAGCGGCGACCGATCGGCTGAAGATGCCGTGTCCGCGGCCGGCGGTCCTGCTCTCCGCGGCCGCGTGGCTGTGGCTGTTCCTGTCGGCCGCCGGCGCGCTGGCGGACGGCGGCAACGGCACGGTGTGCCTGTGCACGGGCCCGCGGTGCGTGCCGCCCTGCCCCGTCCCTGGGACGACGCCGCCGACGACGTCGCCCACGCAGTTCCCCTTCTGCCCGCAGCGGCCGCCGGCGGTGGGGCCCTTCCCGTGGGAGCAGCAGCCGCCGGCGTCGCCGAGGTCGGGGTCGGGGTTCCCCCAGGACGCGGGCTTCCTCGCGGCAGCTGCGGCGAGCCCCACTAGGAATCCGGCGGCGTGGCTGGCGGTGGCCGCCGTGTGCTCTGCTTTGCTGCTGCTCCTGCAGCAGTGACCCTCTCTGGCTCGCCCCCTCCTGTAGATCAGTAGATTGAGTTCAGGCTGCAGGGTGGTCAGAAGATGCTGAACTTATAAAAATATGTAATCTAGGTCTTCAATTCAGTTCATATATGTAGGCCATGGACGAACAATCTGAAATTCGGGTTCATCCTTCCTTTTCATCCTGTTCTTGTGAGAATTAGCAACTTTTTCATTGCAACTGAAATTCTGGGGCTTTACGAGATGTTGAGATGATGCATGGTCTGGAACATGCATATATTCTTTCTTGAGAATATTATTATTAACTCTTGGCAGCACTGTTGGACACTAGTACTATCATCTTGTAGCACTGTCAGACATGTCAATGGCCAAACAGTCTTTCAGAGCACAAGCCCATGCTTGGTCAGTTCTTGGGGTCTTAACAAAAACAAAAGTAACTGAAGAATAAGAAATTCAATACTGAACCTACGGTTACTAGTACTAACTGCCTGTGAATCAGATCGCACTACTGCTTCAGCTTCAGAAGAAACATGAATGAATCAATGCAGCTAGAAATGAATAGGAGCACTACGAAATAGTACCCCATCAAAGCAAATTAGGTGCCCCATCAAGAAAGAAAGAAAGAAACCTTTCCGTTTGGCCGGCGTCATCACCGAAGCGTCAAGGCCTCAACCAAATCTCTCGCCATCACCAAGGAATTACCCGGCAGAAGATGAAGATGGTAAGCGGACGGGTCTACCGCGTCATCACTGAAGCGTCAAGGCCTCAACCGATTCTCTCACCATCACCGAGGAGCAAACCGGCAGAAGATGAAGGTGATTAGTACCGAGGAATAAATAAATATTCAGCGTCAGGCCTCGACCAATTGCTGCACAATAATCCTCTGTAAAAGGGAGCAGAAGCAATGTACTTCTACTCGTTAAGAAACTGCCATTTGGTAGGGGGTTACTCATCACCCGTAGGGAGCGTACGTTTTCAGAGCGGAGGCGTCGCCCACTGACGCGTCAAGGCCTCGACCAAATCTCTCGCTGTCATCACCGACGGAAAAACAAGGGCGGAAGATGAAGACGACAACGTCCTCAACACCCACTAATTGCCGACATGACCTTTGATTAAGTTAACTCTGCACCATGAACTAGCTAGAGGCGCCACGTAGCAAGTACAGTAGTATCTCACAGTTCCCAGTCTCGATTCCAAGAAGAATAACAAATTCTGCTGATAGATGCACCAAGAAATGAAAAACATTCCGGTCACTGTCAGCGGTCGACTAGAAAATAAAAGGTGCAGAGAAAGATGTGTGCTCTTTCTTTCCAGTGGTGGTGGTGGTGGTGCTAGGGCTGTATGGTAGGATCGACTCGACTGAGATAATCATGCAGAGCATAAGAAGTTGGAGCCGTTTGAATCACGTCACCTTTTTTGCAAGGACACAAACATTGGTCCATCCACGATATGATTAGTCCAAAGTTGTACGTATAATGCAGCATGCTTAGCTTGGCCACCAGAAAAATATTCTGCCGCTTAGGTAGCTCCCTGCTAGAATACACCCACACACACTCAGCGGAAGAAGATGAAAAGAAAAGGAGACGAGGCGACGACGACGACCGGCCTCCACCGCACCACTCCACTCCACAAAGCCCAACCGCTAAAGCACCCAAGGAGAGGGAGGCCGACCATTATAACCCACACAAATTCCCCACCGAGATAGAAGCGAACCCCGAGCCGAGCACTGAAAAAAAAAGGAGAGGAGGAGAAGGAAGAAGAAGCTAGAGAGTCGCGCAGCTAGAGAGCACAGAAAGGCGCGAGCTTTTCTTGCTTTTGGTGCCATGGCGAGGTGGACGGCGCAGCGGAGCGGGCTGCTGCTCGTGGCGGCGCTCCTCGCGGTGGCCGTGGCGGCGGCGGACGACAGCGGCGAGAAGTGCACGGGCGGGTGCGGGAACCCGTGCGGCATCCCGTGCACCTACTCCAGCCCGCCGCCGCCGGAGCCGGCGCTGCCCCCGCCCGTCTACTACCCGCCGCCGGCGCCCGTCTACTCGCCGCCGCCGCCCGAGGCCGTCTACCCGCCGCCCACGCCCACGGCCGACTGCCCGCCGCCCCCCACCGAGGGGTACACGCCCGCGCCCTACACCCCGACGCCGTCCACGCCCTCCGGCGGGTACACCCCGGCGACCCCCTCCGGCGGGTACAACCCGACCCCGTCCGGCGGGGACGGGTACAACCCGACGCCGTCCGGGTGGTTCACGCCGCCCAACATGCCGTCCTACCTCACCCCGCCCGGCCCGCTCTACCCGCAGGACCCCGGGTTCCGGCCCAACGCCGCACCGGGCCTCTCCGCGGCGTGGCGCGCGGCCGCGATCGCTGCCGTGGCCGTCGCCGGCGCCCTGGCCTTGTGATCGCCACCGACCGACGCACCGATCGCGCCATGCCAAGGCACACGTGCGCGCGCGTCGCCGGAAGGCATGGGGCTAGCAGCTGCACCATTCGACCGGTCGATCCATGGAGCCGGACGTTGAGCCGCCGTGGTGAGCATGGTAACCTTGAAGCGCGCGCATGCATGGCGTACGTACGTTTTAATTGATGAATTCCGTTGATTCCGTGTTGATAATAAGTAAGGTTAGGGGAAGAAGCAGATCGATCCATCTCCGTGTTAATAATTTTTTTGAGTTTTTCATTCGTGTTGTGCTCATGTTCATGTCGTACATCGGGTCGGCAGATGAACCGTTCTTGTCATGTACGTACGTTGGGTCTCGTTGTTTTTCACTTTGGTCAGTCAATCATAGGAAGGAAGGAAAAGGGTGAATGTTCATCGATCAGGCTATGTGATACTGATACATAATATATATGTCTCTGATTACTCACACTACTTGAATTCTACTCCATGTTCCATGTCTCATCTTCTTGGTATCTATGTTTCCATGATCACCAACTCATGCACCATGGTGCTGACTGATGAATTGTTGCTTTTGCTATCCCGATCAATGTGTGCAACCTAAGTAACCTCTGTGTTAGGTACATTAACTAACTAGCCGTCGTTAACACTTTGAGCTAGCATCCGCACATGCGTTGCACCGGCCGGTACATGCACACACACGCTATCCGATCTTTCTTCGGCTAAAGTGCGATAGCATATCCATCCACGAACAAGCTATGGTGGCCGACGAGGTCGATCGGTCGATGGAGAGCAAACTAGGCCATCAATGGCGAAAAAGCAATGTGCCGGGCGGTGCGAAAATGTGTGTGTGTGCGCGCGCGCCGTGCGTCGTGGCAAACGTGTCGACGTCCGAGACCAAGGGGTCGCGGTCGATGGATATGTGTGTGTATCGGTGGTTGCGGCGTCGCTGTCCGTCGACCGCCATGCCTTCAATTGCTCCAGGCGTGCAAACGTACGTGCGTAGGCTGGTGGATGATCACGCACCATCATCATGTACGCACCCAAGGCAAATCATTGATGCGTGCGCAGGTATGTACAGTGTACGAGTATAACATTGGAACTTCGGAGTGACGGAAGCTTGCATAACTTTCATCCATCTGCCACGCTGGATTGGTGAGCTGCACAGAGTAGGGATTTTGTTCTTTTTCCTAGTGACACCTAGGCACGCATGCACACGTGGCAGGGCCTGAGAATAATAAAAGGTAAAACGGACAGGAGTGATGATAGATAAATAAGGCTGTCCGAACGGCGGAAAGTCGTGCCATGCATCCCCCATGGCACTTTCTACACAAAGAAGCATAGTCTTTTGGACTGTGCAACGTCCAATTTCTTCTGCATATATAATTGCGTAGTTGTGTACGTACTCTCTTTGACTAATCGAGCAGAGGAGGGCGTAGAGCCGGTCAAGCTAGCTAGCTCTCGACCGTGTCATGCTCCGCTTGCTCTGCCGCGAGCTGCTCTCCCTTTTTGTTGTTCCAATAAACATAGTGCTTTCTGTAATGTGGCTAGTGGCCATGGATATGGATTTGTTCTGCGTACTAGTACCACTTTTCGCGCTTTTCGGGCGTGGGGAATACCGGGAGCAAATAATACTCCTGCATATCATAGTTGTGGTTGAGCGCTTTTCTATGCCCCGTTTCTTTCTGCTTACAAGATAATAACTAGTAGAATGAGAAGAGAAGAAAAGGAAAGAATGTCACGCCTCACCCTCTCCCACGGCAGGCCCACATTTCAAGGAGTGCTCAATAATGCCACTCTATCATCTACTCCCTCTGTTCATAAATATTTGTCTTTTTAGAGATTTCAAATGGCCTATCACATACGGATATATATATACATATTTTAGAATGTAGATTCGCTCATTTTGCTCCGTCTGTAGTCTCTTGTTGGAATCTCTAAAAAGACTTACATTTGGGAACAGAGGAAGTATCAACATATATCACACATTACTATGTGCACCGGGGAGGCTATGATGTTTCGGCCCCCGGATTGAATCAAACCCCGGTTCTCAATCCCGCGTCTTGCCATCCGCCGTTCCTGCACGTCTTAACGACGATGGCGGCGACGAGGGCCTCCTATGCATGTGTCGCGCTAGTGCCTTTAGTGCTAGTTCTCTTCCACCTGGAAGGGGCACACGCGGCGCTACTGGAAGCCACAGATGGCCAAGGCTGGTGCAGGCGTATTGGATGCACATGTGTGTCCTTGTCTTTTCGACTCCAAATCGAAGAATTGGGTGAGCAGCGTGGCGACCATTTTATGCCGTGGTTAAAGATGATGACCTACTCAGGTCTGGCTGCGGATTCTTGTGTTGCAGGGGTCTTCTAGCAAGGTTTAGAGATGATCACACTGAGCTCCGGAGATGTTCTTATTTTACTGGTAGGTTTAGCGTGCTCTTTTTTATTTTGGTTCTTTGTTTTTTTTAGCGACACATAGGCATGCATGCACACGTGGCAGGGCCTAATAATAAAAGGTGAAACGGACAGGAGTGGTGATAAATAATAATTTTGTTCCAGCGGAGCAAAGTCAAGCTACGTACCGGCCGTGTCATGCATCTCCATGGCACTTTGTACACAAAGAAGGAGCATAGTCTTTTGGACCGTGGAACGACTAATTTATTCTGCGTATAATTGGTTAGCGCCTTTGGCGTGGTTGTGTACTTGCTCTCTTTCACTAATCATCAAGCGGAGTACGTACAGCCCTCGTGTCATGCCCTGGTTGCTCTGCCGCGCTAGCTGCTCTCCCTTTTTGTTGTTCCAAAAAACATAATGCTTTCTGTAACGTGGTTAGTGGTCATGGATGGATTTGTATCACTTTTGGCGCGTGTACGTGTCTTTTTGGCCTCGAGAATATGTACCGGGAGCAAACAATTCTACATATGTGTGGTTGGACGCTTTTCAAACTGATCTTTCTGCCAACAAGATAATAACTACTCCCTCCGTTCCATAATATAAATTCATCGTTTTTGACGGGTAGTACTTAGAAGAGGAAAGGAAAGAATGTCATGCCTCACCCTCTCCCACAGCAGGCCCACACTTCAAGGAGTGCTCAATAATGCATGCCACTCTATCATCTATCAAGATATACACTCCCCCCTTCACCTAAAAAAAGATATATACCCCATCCAACCCAAAATAAGTGTCACAACTTTGTACAAACTTTTAGAGTATCACACATTAGTATGTGCACCGGGAAGGTTATGGTGTTATGGCCCGCGAATCGAATCGATCCCTGGTTCTCGATCTTGCGGATTGGCATCATCCTTCATGTCTTAACGGGGATGGCGATGATGGTGGTGTCAATCAAGTTCATCATGTCGTCAGCGGGTCTCTCGTTTCGTTCTTTGCTCCAGGTCCCGGAGTTCTCCCTCAGCCGAGAGTATGTTCAACGAGCTCATGTTCTCGCATGTTTGGCCGGGCGGCTCGTGTGGCCAAAACCCTAGGTATAGAACCTCTTTTGTTGAATGCTTGCGCGTTAGAAAACTTTAGGTATTCGGGACTCTCGCTCTTTTGTCCATTGGATTATTATGTTTTGGATTTTTATAGTCGTGATTTGTTCTAGCCGAAATGCAATCACGGCCCGGGAGCAGGCAGAGTAGGTGTCAACTCAAAGAATGTTGCAACCTTTTGCTCACTTTCTTTCTCTGCAAAAGAGTAAAAAGTGCTCAGTTTGAGATGCTGCTGGTGTGCATTTTTGTTGCGCGTGCCACCTTTAGGATAGGACGGGTACTCCTACTACATTCTGTGGCGCCGCCAACAGATTGGCATGCATGCAAAGGTGGGCATCGCTTTATTTCCTGCCACCAAACGTGTAGAGGAGGTAGGAGGAGAGCGGCAGGCACCAAACAACACAATCAAGTGATCCACACCCCAGCACCGGTCCAGCTAGATTGGCCATGTACGTACAGCATAGTACTCCCAATCAGTAGAGAGGTCGCTGCTCTCGCCATGCACTCTCAATCAGCTTTCAGTTCTTGCGTGCGTGTGAGTGGACGATGGAACGATCCGACGCTCTGCTCTGCTCTTTCAGCAGGTGGAGAGAGACGACGATCGAAACAATCGCAAGAAGCAGAGCGTAATCGGATGTTTTTTGTGCCCAAGAGAGAGGCCGGAGAACCGGTGAAGGTGGCCCGAATTGAAACGAGACTAATGGGCTTGTTCATTTCGTCAAGTGTGGTTCAGCACCGACCGGGTAAAACCACGCATGTGTGGTTCAGAGGCAGAGATGAGGAGCTTCTCATCCTCATCTCCTTATCTCTCCCCTGACGACCCAGCTGCGGCAGCCCTACAAGGCTACAAGTAAGCAGTCTGAGGAGAAGCTTCTTATCCTCATCTCCTTTATCTCTGACAACCGGCCCGCACGTGCTGTGCTACTACGGTAGCTTGATCCTACGAGGACCAAGCTACAGCGGCCTTCCCTGCAAGAAAGAGCAGGCAAAGTTGACGAGCGTGATTAGCGGCGGGACGAAACGAAATGCCTTTTCAGCCAATGGTGTAGTATGTTTTTCTTACAGAAATGGATCATGCAGAAATGGCAACTCACCCGTCCCGGAGATGACGACGTCTCCGCCACGTCTCCCCTGCGTGTTCGTGCCAGATTTTGGTGTGGCGGTGCCGGTGCCTCACCTGGGCTACGTCCGCCGGCATGGACGTCGGGCGGAGCTCCTCGACGACGAGGGGGTGGTGGTGGACTCATGCAGCTGGGAGCGCGAGGCGGAGTGGCGGGTGGGCCAGGAGGTGGGGTTCCCGTGCCACGTCGCGGAAATTGTGGCGGCTGACCGGTGGGGCGAGGTGGGGGTGCGGTTCGAGGTGAGTAATGGCGAGAGTGGGGCTGTGAGAGGTGTTATTGGCCCAACGCCTCGGCTCTCTTCTCCCCCACACCTCCCAAATCTCGCCCGTGAAATTCACCGCTCGCCGCAGCCGCGACAGTTAGGGTTCGATGACGACGAGGGAGCAGCAGATGTGG